TAACGTCCCATGTCCCAGGAGCTATATTCAATACCCAAGAACTAACAGAGAGTCTCTGTGGTGTAGCCAATCAAAGACATATTCTGTACTAATTAGCAGGTACACTTCATGGATACAGGACTCCACTCTAGCCCATGATCAAATCTGCCTGTTCAAGGAGACTATGATATCTTACCAAACTATGGCTGTGACCTGCATGGTGAGAGGCTTGAAACACTGAGAGCAGCTGAGCTGTAATGTTTCCTAGCTGCATGTTTTCCTTTATTTGATGGATGTAATTTGATACAAAGAAAATAAGTCCTACATTTTTCATCAAAGATTTTCTTTTTGAGTAATTCATCAGTAATTTCTGGAAAGAGTCAGCTGATACAAATATATTTTTGGCACTTAGAGCATCTAAAGGCAAACACCATTTGGTTTTGTTATCGGCAGACATTTTTCCATTGATTAATTGAGTATTTCACACTATTTGAAACAGATACGTAGCACTACAGGTCAGAGGGAATTTAAATTGTCTGGAACTAGTGGAAATCACTGGTTTTAAAGAAGCAAACAGCTGCGTCTTCATGGTAAATCATTTTATTTAACAAAGTGTGTTACATTTTTATGTGGGTTCAACAGGACAGAGCCCGAAACAGCTGTTGTGGATGAATTGGTTCAGAAGCGTGGTTGTCCTTCCGGGCGATGGCCTCTGTCCCATTCTTCACGCACACTATTGATCCAATTATTGTAGTTGGACACTTTTGTGTAGATTCCCAGTTTGTCCAGCTGTCCACAGCCCTCACCCCAGGAAACCAGGCCAACCAGGAACCAGGTGTCCCGGTACAGAGTGACCATCGGGCCCCCGCTGTCACCCTCACAGGCATCCTTCCTCTGTCCAAGGATACCGGCACAGAGGACGTTGTTGGAGATCGTGTGGGGGAACATCTGCTGAGAACAGATGCTGTGGCTGACCAATGGGATTTCAATAACGTTGAGCGCTGAGCTGTACTTAGTGCTGTTCATCTCCTCTTTGCCCCAGCCAGAGACAACAGTCTTAGTGCCGTTCAGGTGGAGCACCCGCTCGGCCATCTCGCGTCCTGGCAGACAAATGGGGATGATGTGCTCAGTCATGGGAGCAGGGGTCTGTAGGCGCAGCAGGGCAATATCATTGTCCATGGTCTTGCTGTTGTAGTTCGGGTGTTTGAAACCTTGGACGACATCCAGGATGACCTCAGTGCCTTCGTGTTTAAAACGCTCATAGTCTCCTAAAGACACAGGTTGTGGACTCATGGTTAATGAAAGCTGATGTGTGTTTTCACTCTGACTACA